GAAAGTTGATCAAAAGCTTCATGATGTTCCCTTCCTTATGTATGTATGTATGTATGTATGTATGTATGTATGTATGTATGGGAACATCTCTGTCTGTCTGTCTGTCTGTCTCTCTCTCTCTCTCTCTATATATATATACACACACACACACATATACATAAAAAACTGAAGCAGAATTTTGTACCACTTAGTAATGAACTATACTTACAGGGAAATGGACAGTATAACAGCTGGAACTAAACAGCCCCTATATACTGTTCAAAGATAAATCTGCCTGTATTTCCAAACAAATCAGTGGCCACTCAGAAAATCCACAATGTGACAGTAGTTTTAAAAAAGAAGTTAAAAAAAAACTATCCAAAATTAGCATTCAAAGGTCTTAGGGTTGCTTTTACCAATTTGCCTAATTTTACAATAACAAACATCTCTCAAATGTAAATATGGCATACCAAATAAAGTTAATTAGGACTATAGAATGATTCAAATTTTGGAGCATCTGCCTCTTTAACCATGATTTGTTGAATAAGCAACAGTTGGCTGAATTCACATATGCTAAACCATAATGGATGGCACCACACAATATGCTAGCCAAAAACAATCAAGTAGCATTATGATTAAGTACAATATATGAATTACTACGTCCATTCCAAAAACCATAGTTTGCCATTTTGTCTGTAACAGCAAACTGGGAGTCATCCTCACTCAAACTATTATTTTTTAAAAAGAAGAATAAAAACTACAATCTAAATTAGAACAGATAAATTGAAAAAAAAGACAAAAACAGCTAAAAGTGCAAAAGAAAAAGAAAATAGAAAAAAGAGTGCAAGTTATAAAGAAAAATATAGGGAATAAAAAAGTGGTTTCCAATATTCTTCACAGCAGTTATAACTAAAATTATAGTTTAACCTCTCTAAAGTTACATGATGATTCTCTTCTTTCTATAATCTATCCTGTCTACATCAAAGCCATAAATCACAAGTTTTTTTTTTTTTCATTTTTATGCAAAAAGTCCACAAGGGGTTGCCAGTTGCCAATAAACGTAGAAACTGTATTTTCTCTTATCAAAAAAGTCAGCCTCACTCAAACTATTAGATATGGGATGCAAAAATCCACACAATCACTAAATGGCAGGAAAGAGTTAAGAGTTTTCTGCCTCTCTGCTTTCACTTAGTGGTCATCTAGACTTTTGTAACACAGGTCTGGTAGCCCTACAAAGAAAGGTTTAGTATTATACCTTGAAAAACCATTTACAAATCATACTGAATGAGGGCTGAATGGCACGGCCTGTACTTATGGAGGAAATTTTGATGGTTTTATGTTAAGGTTAAATTATTTTTTATGTTTCTCTGCTCAGAAAGGCATTTAACTCTCCCACTGATTTCAGGAATAGTGGTTGGGGGACTCTGAGAATTATAAGAACTCATTGATCACATTCTGAGACCATTAATTAGCCATCTTTGCTCTAAGCAATAGTGTGGTTTATTTAAGTTTGTTTAGTGTGATATGTTCCTTTGTAAACCATGTTTTATAGCTTAGCATGTTGCACAGACCCATCCATTTCAGGCTGTCAGCAAACCATGGTCAAGGAAGCCATGGCACAGCATGATGTTTGAACCCAATCCTTTTATCTGAGTTTCTGTTTTCATTCATTCATTTTCAGAACCATAAAAAAACATGAAAGTAACTCTAGTCAAGTAAACTAAGACCTTTACTTTCTACTTGCTCCATTGCCACTATGACAGTGGAGTAATAGATGATATCATTTTGACCCACCCCCAGCCAATTGGAAATACATCCTCTGCCTGAATTTTACAGCTCTCCTTCAACAGTACTGTTTTCTATCCTGAGCCTTCATAAACCTCTCTGAGCAGTCTAGTGATATCCCCAGGTCAGTGGCTACAGCCTCTGGCACATCCTCTCTCCTCTAGTGTCTGCTTGCTGCCTTGAATAACCATTCTGTGCTGGGCTACTATGCTATATTCTACCTTTATATCTCCTGGCAACCATCCATTTGGTTTCTGGGCAGGCTGGGTGAAGTATACAGGTAGTCCCCAGGTTAAGAACGTCTGGGTTACAGACAACCCATAGTTAAGAACTGAGCCTATTGTAGCAAAATTAGAATTAAATACACAATGGTTTGAGTAAAATACACAATGGTTTGAGTTCATTACACAATACTACATATACAGTATTATAAAATAATACTGTTCTGTCTTACATACAAATTCAACTTAAGGACAGACCTTGGGAACAGAACTTGTTCTTAAACTGAGGACTACCTGTACTCTTCTTTCTTCCCCATCTTGTGCCCACTGTACTGCAATGGTTCCCTTTCCTTTTTCAAAAAGATCTTTAAATTGCAATGTAGGCATGTTGGGATGAAGCTACAGCTTCTATGAAGCTGAATGATTAGTTCTTGTTGATACTGTATAAAGTTTTTATGGAGCTACTATGGGACAGAGGAACAACATGCCTCCTTTGTTTTAATTATTCTAATGAAGCAGCAATAGTACAATAAGGGGGGAAATTAACAAAAAGGTCTGCATTAGTGTCAAAAAAGGAAATGTGGGAATGGAAAGTGGAGGGATCTATGTATGGATCTGGGAAAGCAAGCAAAAAAGGGCCTAGTGAAGAGAGAAGAACCCCTAAAAGGAGAAGTCAGGCACTAGTAAGAGGTGAAAGATTTATATGATCTGAAGAGAAACCAGAAAAACTAGACCCACACACATAGGAGTCAGCCAGCAAGGCTTGCCTTCTCTGCAGAGATAGAAAGGGCAAGAAGCAGGGGAACTACCAAGCGAGGCCCTGGAAGGCATAGTCTGGGCTGAGGGTGAACCCAGCCCCATTGCCAAGCCACTGCAATCCAAACTAGAATTCCTTTAGTTGGCTTTAGCAACAGCCAGGAACAGCACAAGAGGCAAACAGATTAGGCTGCCATGTGAAACAAAAGGTAGTAACCAAAGGCCACATTATGGACAAAACCAGGTAGCCAAGTTCAACTGCTGTCTTCCAGGTCTTGAGAAAGCAGATCAATATGCCAGCATAATATTTGCTGCTCTCATTGCCACACCCTATTCTCTTACAGGGAAATTTAAGCAGACTGATTAATGGATTTCCCTGGCTTCAGTTTCCTTCCAGCCAAGTGTCACCTGCTGATGGAAGAGAACCACCAATCACTCTCCCTAACATGGAGTGGAGAAGAATTAAGGAAATGTAAGCTGGTGTTTAGAATGGTGTGGAGCCATGCCTGTGACTTGTCAGGTACACTATTTCCAAAGCAGTGTTTCTCAACCTTAGCAACTTTAAGATATGTGGACTCCAACTTGCAGAATTCTGGGAGTTGGTGTCCACATATCTTAAAGTTGCTAAGGTTGAGAAACACTGTTCTAAAGTGCCACTTCTGAAAGAGTGCTAAACCTGGGTTTAGAAATAGGGTGGCTGACAGGTAACAGATATGAAGGAGAGTTGTAGGGTGAAGCACAAACGAATGCTTGATAACAAGGGAGCTCCCTCCACAATTAGAGCAGCAAGAGAACCATAGAGCTGGCAGGAAGTGACAAAGATTCCATTTCAGCCAAAACTACCTCATGGATGGTCATGGAAAGCATGCATAATAGCAAAAGTCATCCCCATGGCACCTAGGGCTGCCAAACCCAGAAAGAAGTAACCCAAATAACAATCCCCCAGCCCCAAGTAAATAATAAAATTGGTAGAAAATACAGTTACATGTAACCCCTTGTTGGCAGAAGCAACATAAAACCTGTAATGCTCCCAATGGTGACAAGACCAGCCACACACAGCTGACAGATCCCAAAAGAGAATCTGCTTGGAAGCCCTAAGCCCTATAACCCTCTACAGCATGCTCTTCCTCTACCATCACAGAGCTACCCTGGAGCTGTACAAGGCAGAAATACCAAAAGATTTAAAATAAATCAACAGTTATTCATCAGTCAAAATGGAAAATTAATGCATTAGCTTTAATTACAAAATGCTTCTTTAAATACAGCTTAGAACTAAATATAAAAGCTAAATGCATTACCTTTAATTATATCTGTTCTTAAACACAGTTTAGAATGAAATGTTGAAAGTGCTAAATGGACTTTTTTTTTTTTTTTTTTGCCGTTCAGTTTAGCTTTCCGTTCCCATTACTTCTTTCTGTTGAAGACATCTGACTTTTACTCCAAAAGGGAAAAGCTCAGACTGCTGGATGGGGAGAAGAAAGGGAATGTGGTTTCCTGAAACATTTCCAGAAATGACATGGGAAAATAACTCTTGAAAGAGATGCAGCGCTAGAAACACTTCCTTTTGGAGCAGCATTTCCACAGTATTCTTGGTTGAGCCAAATGTAATAACAGTTCAGCTATTATTGTTGCAAGGAGGGTGGGCATCGAGGAGGAGAAGTAATTCATGCAAACAGCAGCTTGTAATTTCTGGGATTACAAACCATGTCTACTATGAGGCATGGTATTCATGTGGTTTTAACATGCATTTAAAGAGATAGAGGGAGGGGAGAGAGAGAGAGAGAGAAGTGGATTTTTTTCATATCCTACCAAAAGCTATAAAAATTAGCATTTCCAAGAATGTTTCAGGCAGCAATTTAAAACATGCTTCTGTTGTCTGCCTTTTAGTTCCTTTAGCTTCAGTTTTTCTACATTCCTTTTAGCAGAGCTCCAGTTGATTGTGAAACAGTTACAGTATAATCCTTTACATATCTACTCGAAGTAAGCTGTACTACATTTAGTGTGGCTTGCTCCTAGTAATTAGGTATGGCACTGCAGCCTTAATCAAATCACTGTGGACATGAACATTCCATCAAACAGAGCACTCTGACTTTTGATACAGAATCTATGTATTGGGAAAGAATATGTCCCTTTTCTTCAAAAAAAGAAAAATAAAAGACCAACATCTTATAACAATCATGTTTGAAGAGAAGTGGGAAATGCATGGTATATTTTTAGAAAGCAGAGAAGACTCAGGGGAATCTTGGGAAGACAGGAAAGAACTCTCAGTGTATTTCTCACTCTTTCATATCCCAAACTTTTCTTATATACTTAGTGACATGAAAATAATAATTATAACAGCCACATCCTTAAAATTCTGTATCAGTGAAAATCAGTCCAATAAACTTCCCAGTGTTTCAGCCATTCTTACTATTCTACATATATCAAAATAGAGAAAGAATAAAAAGAAAAAAATGATTTAATAACTAAAAATGTAAGAAAGCAATTGAGAGCCAGAGTCATCTGTAGGCCAGAGTAATGGACTTCAACCAGGAGGACAGTAACAAATTCTTATGAGAGCCAGATTAAGGATTGGGAGCTGTGGAGGTGGATTTTAATCCTTTGATTCTCACCACTAATCTATTAAAAATGAGACACGTGCATAGGGGTGACCACAGGGTATGGTCAAAAAAGTCAAAATCATAGCCACAATGGTGCAACTAAAGCTCTACCTGGTTTTTATGTGCATCATATCTGACATCTTGACTTTTTTTTTTTTTTAACCATATCCTGTGGTTACCCCTGGATATACAGTGTTTTGGGTTCAAAGGCAAAATGGTTCTTCAGAGTGTGAATGTCTGCCACTTCTTAAAGCAAATGTTTCATTTTCCAGGGTTGTGCAGCAGCTGTAGAGTCCAGTTGCACAATCCCAGGAAAAGACACAAATGCTTTAGGACTTGCACACTGGCATCTCCACGTGCTCTGAAATATCTTTTTGCCTTGAATCCAAAGCACTGTACAGCCATAATAAAAATCTAAATGCCTGCAGGTGCACCCACCCACACATAACTTTTTCACCATTTTAATACAAACAGTTTTCTCCCCAATACATATACTAGCTTCACAGAAGAATATTTTCATTGAAATCCTAACTCTCAGAATAGGAGGAAATAGTTAATGCTCCGTCCCTCCCTGTGTCCCATTGTCTTGAACCTATCATGTTCTCTGAGGCTTCCAACAGCAGTTGTAAAAATATGCAGTTTTAATATCACATCTAGTTTGTCATTAAGTGTAATGGTCATAGTTTCAGCAGCAATCTAAATTATTTCATAGCACTTTTGTGAAGCTACTGTGCATCTTTTGGGCCAGGAGATTAGGAAAGCTGTGCTGGTGATGTGTTGTTCTTGATTTGGGAGTCATTGTTTTAACCTTGGATATCACGGGCTATATTTTCTTGTAGCTTTGAAATTTGTGCAATGCCCAGAGTCATTGTTGTAAGATGGGTGGCTATATAAATAATTTAAATAAAGTAAATAAAAAATAAGTCCATATTCATTCCCTTTCACTCTGTGATAGGAAGGCAAAATATAAGATAAACTTGCAAAGCAAGTAAGATTTGTTTCAAAGGCATACTTAACTAGAGCTACTAGAGACAGGGCTTTTTCAGTGGTGGCACCCAAGCTATGCAGACAAGTCAGATACTGCCTTTTTTTAAAAAAAAAGTCACTATTTTTAAGGTACACTGTATCATATTTTCTCTCATGTATTGATATTTGCTGTCTCTTTTTCACCTTTCTGATTTTTTAAAATTGTAGTTGACTTATGACTATACCATGTAAGTAAAGACAGAATTAAAAATCACAGCAAAAAAAGTGATGAGTGGACCTTCATATCTGAACTGCAAAAATATGGATGACCACTAGATAGCAGGAGTTTTCTGCATCCAATGATTGTCTAGAGCAGTGTTGTCCAAACTTGGCCACTTTAAGATGAGTGGACTTCAACTCCCAGAATTCCCCAGCCAGCATGG